TCATGAGTGAAATTAGTAAGAGGTATATAAATTACTAAATTTTGATAAAGGATTGCAAGAGCTTTCGAGTGCAAGTGCTCCAAGTAGTTTCCAGTGTTGATTTGAAACAATCAAAATGCATTGCCTCCTATATTTTGAAACTAAACTCAAATGGTTCCCCGGGATTTGCACATAAGGGATATAAGATAATTTATTTATTAATCCAATTCTCTGTTAAAAGCATATATATTATAGTTTAATCTACATCTATCATAAAAAGTTTCCTCAAGCATTTACAGAGGTAGTAGTTCAAAAAGACAAAAAAGAAGAATAAGCAATAAAGAGAAGAAAAAAAGAAGCATTAACATTTCCCCAAAAAAAGTAACCAAGAGAGACTAACAGGATCATTTTTGAAAAACACCAGCGAAGTGCGTGTGAGAATAAACCATCGCTTCTTCCATGATTTCCAACCTAACCCTGAAGCAACAAAAAATTAGTGTAGAAAAAGTAAGGAAACAAAACAAGTGACTTGAAGAAAAATATGTACCAAATATCAATATAAAAATGTCAAAACACAGAAGATTCCAATACAAGTAGATTGAACAAACTGAATGGGCAAAATAAAAATGAAACAAATAATGTTGAAAAACACTTGGATCTACGATACATAGGACTAAAAGACAAAATGATATTAATAATGTAGAAAAACACTTGGTCATTGTGAGATATTAAGTTCAAATTTGCATTCTGAAGACTATGATACGAGACAATGCCAAAAGTTGGTAGTTACAAATCTTTCCTAATATAACAACTGTTTTTGGATAAAGTCCTTGATGTATCAACTATTTTTCGATGAAGTCCTTGATGTAACAATTAGTATATGCATAAAGATATTTTACAAGTGTTTTAAACCCTCCTAGTAAATTTATTATCAACCAAAAAAATGGGTAAAAGGAAGTTACATTTCCTTAAGGTGCATTTGGTATGTAGGATAAGACATGACAAAACAAAATTAGACCGAGAAATAATCCAAGTGAAACAAAAAAGCATTTCCTTCTGTCTCATAAAAATAGGTAGAACAAATTCAGGAAGATTGGGACAAGATTGGTACTAAACTACTCATGTCAAATTAAAACCCTAAACCCTTCCAAGATTCATTCACCCGCCTACCTGACTCGCATTGTTGTCTAGTCTTGTACACCTGTCCACGTACCATACACACCCTTAAAGATAGATTAATGGACATGTGATGTCTTAATTAATGGACATGTGATGTCTTTCTATTAAATTATTACATTACATTGTGCATAGATGACCAAAACTTCTCTATGTAGTTAATTTGGATGTGTTCGTAAATTATTTTCGTCATGAATCAACTAATGGCTCCTAGTACACCAAAATACTTTGAAGCCTTTTCTTTTCAACGAGTGAAGCACCACTTTTGCAATGAAGGAGACCCTTAGAAGCACCACGTGTTCACATATATGGCGAGTTAATACTACTTCAAGTCAATCTCAATTAAATATTGTCTGAAAACAAAGATTAGTGTTTGTCTGAACTTAATTTTACAGTTTGTAATTAAGAAGCTAAAATTGGGGGTTAGGAGGGCTTGAAAAATTACAATGCTAAGGATTTGTAGAACATAAAAAATAACTAGATATCATGTTTATGGATCCAAAAGAGGCACTCAAATAGGGTGGCAAGAGAAGTGATGTAGGCTCTAAGAACAAGAATAACAACCTACCTTGCATGTGAACGTTCTTACGGATATGAACGACCATGTTGAAATTACCAAAAAAAAGTGAATGGAAAGACAAATGTTTTTCCCTATAACTACAAGGTTACACCAAGCATATCGTAATGGATGGTTTTTTCCATTCATACCATGAAGATTGATGCAACAAGACAAAATGTTAATGCAAACTTGATAATTCGTAATAGCACTTTCAAATCTAAAAGTTCTAGATTAAAATTTGAATGATACAAAATTTATGAAGTGCATTTCAACTAAGGAGGCGTAATACGTGGCATGCTATCTAGAAAGGAAGTTGTTGGAAAAATCATATATTTTGGTGGTTGTGTTGTTGGAATGGTCATTTGTTCTTAGTAAGGTTGTTGAAACATTCAGATATAGCTGAAAGGTTCATAAAGTTGAAGGTGGTAACACCTACAAGATTTACGAACCGATAAATGGGAGGTTGGAGGAGAGACCAATTCTGAAGTAGAAACATCACCTTTTGAGGTGGTTTGGTCGTTGGTGCCTTGGTGGGGATACTTGTACCAAGAGTAAATCATATGAAGAGGCATAGGTTAGCTAAGATTGACAAGTAAGAAAGTAGTTAAGAACTATAATGCATAGATGCTTCAGCCTATGCTATTATATCGGTCATAATACGAAATATCGGTCAGGACCGATATTCGATATATCGGTTATATCGGTGATATGTCGGTGATATATCGGTCCAAAATAGCGGTTAACATAATATATCTTAGAATTATATATATAATATGCATTAATTAGAGTTTAGAAATATAGTTTCAAAATTAAAACATCACATCATCTAATAAATAATAAAATTAGTCATCTAGGCTTTGGGACTGTTAGTCTAATAGTCTGTTTACTCATTTGGGTTTGGGCCTTTTGAAATTTGGACTGGAGGCCTGGAGCACTTGTAAATTTCTAAGCGATAGCTACCGCCTACCACTTACCAGCCGGCCACAGGAGACAGATCACAAATCACAATTCACAGACGTACACATATCCGCCGACCGCCATCGCCTTCCTTCCCCCCTTGACCCTTGTAAGCGACGGCCGGTAGAGTGAGCAGCAGACCAGCAATCGACCTTCGGCTTCTTCCATTCCCGTCCCGTTGCCATCCCTATCGCTGGCTATGTTGTGTCGATTACAGAGAAAAGCAGAGGAGATCGAGAAGAGAGACCGAGAAAAGAGAAGACGTTGTGAGAAGAAGTCGTCGAAGACTCGATGTTGTGAGAACTGAGAAATCGGAATATCGGTCCGATTTTTACCTCAAAATATCGCTAAAAAATCACTAAGAATCGCTAAATATCGCTGATAATAACGTTCCCAATATTTTGACCGATATTTAAGGTCCGATTTTTTTCCTAGGAACGATATCCGATATATCGCCGATATATCAACGATATATCGCCGATATTAACAGCATAGGCTTCAGCTATTGTCGAAACTCCATATCCAGTTCCAAAGTGTAATGAGGCATAGGTCTGACTATATCACCAAATTGTTTAACCATTTCATATAGAGATAAAATTTCATGAATTATAAATTTAAAAAGATATAAATTTAACGCAAATTTAGGTTTTATGCCTAAGAGAGAGAGAGTGAGTGAAAGAAAGAGAAGTCAAAGTAACAAAGAAGTGAAGAGTTGCAACAAAATATTTGTCCTTAGTGGTCCATACCATGTGCAGAGCACTAACCTAGTGTCACTAAGTAAAAGAATGATATGACTTGAGCTCAAGTATTTTATATATACTTTATGCATTCTGTGTTTCTATGTGGTATATATTACGACATGAAAACACATTGATGTCAACTCTAGGAGATATAGGACAGAGAGAGGTAACTAGGTATATTTCTTACTGAGAGATGAAAATTCATGAATTATAAATTTAAAAATTAAAATTAAAATTGGACACAAACTTAGGTCTTAGGCCTATGAGAGAAAAAAAAAAAGAGAAAGGCAAGCAAAGGTGACGGAGAAGTGAAGCAATTGAACATAATTTTTTCCTTAATGGGCCATACCATGTGGGGTCTAGGGAGCACTAACTTAGTGTCACCAAGTAAAAGAAAGATGACTTGAGTTCAAGTATTTTATATATACTTTATACATTATGTGTTTCTACATGGTATATATTATGGCATGAGAACACATTGATGCCTATAATGTTTGGTTTTGAAAAAATCTTGACCCTGAAAATTAGAGTTCATTTTTTTCTAAATATTTAATGCACATATTAATTATTCCATTTTTTAGTTTAAACTCATATATTAGGGTCGGCAACAAGTAGGGTAAGGGTTATTCCGTTATCCAATCCATTTAAAATAGCAGGTAACGAAACAAGCAATTATCCATCTTATAGACCTATTATCCATATCCTACCCTACCCATTAAAATAGCGGGTAACAAGATGGGTAATGGATAAATGGTAAAATAAAGTTATTTTGAACTATAAATAATATTATTAAACCTCAAACATATATGTAAAACATAAATTCATAAATATAGTAGTTGTGTTATATCTAGTTTTTTATAGTAAACATTTTAATATTACATTACGTATAATCCTAGTATAATGTTTAAAAACAATACAAAAATTTCAAAACAACATTGTTCGTTGTATTTATTTTTCTGACCACGTCTTGTTTCTAATTGAATCATCATGAACTCTTTTACTCGAGAAATATAAGTAAATTAAATTACACATTAATATACGACATATATTCCTATATATATATATATATATATTATTTCGAAACGAGTAATGCGTATTGGATAAGTGGATAAGTGGATAAATGGATAACTAAAATCCGTTTATCCATATCCTACCTACTGAAATTTCGGGTAAACAGGTTTTGGATAAGTGGATAAATGGATAAAGTTTTCTTTGTCCATACCCTTATCAATCGGGTAGAAACATAGCGGGTAGCGGGTTTACCCTCACCCATTGCCAACCATATCGTATATGCATGCATGCATTACCATGAATTTGCTTTCTTGCAAAACAGGGTAAATGAAATTTGCTAAAGTGGGCTTAATCACAAACTTTGTTTCACACCTTGATGAGGTAAAGAGTGTATAGGCCACTAGATTCATTCTAGTGAAAGATACTCTGCAGAACATCACATTTCATATGTATTAACAAGGTGGCACCATCATCATGAAGTTCCTTGTGACAGAGTTGCTAATCTCTAACCCTAACTGCTAAGTGATAACATCTCCATCATACAATAAAAGATGTTACTAGATGCAAGATCACACACAACTATTAGCTACAAGTTGGCGATGTCGGCTTAGACCATATTAGGATGCCATCATCCACTATTGTAGTTCAAAGATACCAATTTCCATTACTTGAGGACAACTTTTCCCAAGACTTGAATGTAACGCATGACCACTCCCAGATATTTCAAGGTGATACTACAATAAGCAATTAGAAAAATGTCTTGGTTAGGTGGTCAAGAAGTAGGTGTGGTGGATCTTAACATTGTTAAAGAGTAATGGCACTGGTTCAAGGGATTAAGGCACCAACTCTGCATGTCAATATTCACATTGAGGCAAAAATGACACAGGTGGCTTATATTGTGTTCAAATACATTATCATTGCATGGAATCATAATCCATCTTGATAAAAGTACCTTTAACCTATTGTCAAGCCACTAAAGTGATTCAAATAATGTGGGTAGCCTACATAGTGAAATGAAGATCAACATATCGATGCCTAGTTGATTTGATACAAAACACAATTATCAGCAGTCGTGGCAATACAATGGGACCTAGATATCAAAATCTATAAATCGACTTTAAAACCCAGTCAAGTTGTCTTGTTTTAACCTACAACCCTGGTCAAGTTGCTAAACAAATAAACCTATAATTGATTAAAAAACTTTCTATCATAAATTCCTAACACATGTTTTTAAGACACCATGATTCAAGAGAAAAAAAATGATTGTTGGGGCATTACCATTGGTGTATTGACCTTTGTAGTGTGTTTATTTCATTATCATAAAGCGGCTCAAGAACTGGTGGGTTTCAAGATGTAAAATCCCTTTATTCTATTATGTTATGGAAAATTTGAAGGAGTCATACAGTAAAACAAAATAACTAATTTCGCTTCATTTGTTGATAAGGTGGCACACAGATTTGAACTAGGGAAAAAGGAGTTTGGAGATGATTGTGATTTAGATGTGTCTTGTGTACAGGAGGTATGCCATGGCGATACATGATATGTACGGGCAAATGAGAGAGGACCCAATGGTGAGACAGAGTATTTCCCGGTGAAGATTAGGCTACACCGAGGCTCGCCATAAGCCCTTTCCTATTCCTTGTGATTTTGGATGAGGTCTCCTGAGGATAAAGTGGAATCTCCATGGTGTATATTATTCACTAATGACATTGTGCCAGTAACAGAGTCGAAGGTAGAGGTCAATGAAAGGTTGGAGGAGCGGCGAGCGGATCAAGGCTTACGTATTAAACGCTCTAAGACTGAATGCATATGGTGTAATTTCAACAGGGAGCGTATTCATGAAGCGAGTAGAAGTCAGCATTGAAGGGCAAAGGTACCCATTGCCCAAAAGGACAGTTTGACATGCTCCCTGGTTCAAAAAAAGGGAGAGGTCAAGAATTACGTAACACATCGCATAAAGACAGGGTGGCTAAAGTGGAGTGTTGCCACGAGGGTGCCATGTGACAAGAAGGTCAAGTGAGCTTTTACATGGTAGCCATCCGACCAGCATTGTATTGGTCAAGCAACAAGGAAAGCTCATGAAAGAGTTGGAAGTTGCAGAAATGAGGATGATTAGATGGACGTGTGGTCGGACCATGTTGGATAGGATACCAAACAAGGTCTACTTTCCACTATCACGCCCTCCCGTGGTGGATCTTGGGGAGACCTCGTCACTTGAAACGCCTAAGACATAGATACTCCAAGAATCTCATATTATTGAGCAAGTAATACACATAAATACATGTAAGGCTAGGTAGCATGGATCCTAAGCAAATGATTACAGAGATAGGGAGCCTCATGAGGGGTAGCTATAGACAATTTTATGATATTCTTGTATGACATTTGCCCAACCATAGAGCATAAATTGACAACTAAAATAGAAGCTAAAATTTAGGCAATATGCATCAACTATATACACAATATTACATATTTGTTTTTTTCTTTAAGCCCATACATAGATGACCAAGGAACTTCAAGGAACAACTGTTATGTATCATGAGCTCAAATAAGCAGAAGACTTCTACTCACCTTTTGAAGATATGAACAGCGGACCACTCTTGAAAACCTGTAGAATTTGCACAAAAGTGGTCAGAGAGAAGAAAATTTCATGATCCAAACAAGATTATCATTCAAAACCAATCTAATTCATGATATACCATTAGAGTAAACAAAAGCAAAGGTGAACACATGCAATTAGAAGTGGGTTTTTCGGAACACATATTATATTCCTAGAATTATCCATAAAGAATACTCAATCAGAGCTTGGAACAAAAGCAAGTCACCTGAAACGTTGAATTAAACCACACGCATATACTTTGCTTAATTATTACTACCTCCATCCCAAAAGAGAAATGGAAAGTTCGACTCTGGATGCCAAACAACTTACCGTTTGACCTCTAATTTGATATGGATTTTTAACTTTTAGAATGAAGAGATGGCTACATTGAACTTTATAACAATTTGTCAAAATAAGCACAAGATGGGTTAAGTTTGCAACGAAATCCATACCAAATTCGCATGCGAAAAAGCACAATGTTAAATTATGAAAATATAGATTATTTCGACAACAAAAACACTACAAACAATACCGTATTTGTAGCTCCATTTCGGGGACGCGTGAATGCCGCCAATGAAGCAGACATTCTCAGAAAACATTGACAACGAAACAATCAAACATTTGAGATGGATGTTGTAATCGTCCAAAAATGAGTGGAACCCAGATCGAAAAATACGCTGCTAAGCAAATTAGCCACAAGATCCAATGGTGGAATTCCGATTGAACAGACTGTGAAGACGAAGATGGAGATGATGAAAAACCCCAAAAAAAGCAACAAAGCTACGCTCTCTGTCGTCACTTTCTCTCTCTAGAAATGTTGGATTAGGTAATAGCGGCATTTGGTCTTTAATGGGAGGCTTAACTTCGACCCGTGATTCGAGGGACAGTCAAATATTTGCTGGTGGGAGTTACAGTCGATAGTAACACCACGAGTAACTTCGGGAACCAAAAACAACTCACACTTTCAGTCCCTCATGTTATATTTTTGTTTCAAAATTGATCCATATTCTTCCAAAAAGTGATGTTTCCAACCCCTTACTTTTTGTTTTACAAGTATTGAAGAGTAAAGAAACTTAAAATTGTATATAAGATAAACATTTGAACAAATTGTTTAATAGTTAAGTTCAGTTAATTATTTATATTTGTATTATATTATAAAGTATTTGATTCAATCTCTTAAAAACAACTTTTTAAGCATTGCTTCATCCATATCCTTCTGATCCCTCGAGTTTAACAAGTTTTGATAATTCATATTCTTCTATTTATCTATTGCTTCATTTATATCCTTCTATCCATTGATTTCAACCAGTTTAGATAACCTTCATCAAGCAATGATTCAACAAAATGATTCAATATTTTTAGATGGATATATATCATTTAACATTTCGATTACATCCTCTACTTGTGTGTGTGTATGCACGCACATGTGTGTGTATATATATATATATATATATGTATATATTCGAAGCAGGTTCTTTGTGATACAAACAGATTCTAAGCTTCCAAGGTTCATATCCTTCAATCTATTTACATCATATGTGTTTTGTTCAATCTTTGTTTTTTTATTCAAACATAGTCGACATCTTCCAAGGTCTGTTTTCTGCTTTCCTTGCTTTAATTTAATCTATTGTTTGTGAATCAAGATTTAATTTCTAAGGTTTATAATCTTAAATCCCTGATTCTTTTTGTTAAATGGGTACTATATTTATGGGATTTTACCGTTTTGGACAACCATCTTTATCCTTATCCATTCTGACCATAATACGGGTAATTTTGCATAAAACTTGAGGAAAGTCATGTAACTATGCACAAAGCTTGAGGAAAGTGATGATAATTAGCAAGGAAAGGTCTGATCAACCCGGACTCATGGTTGATTGGCGTTGACTTTTTTTCCCTAGGGTTTCAAGCTTGAAGATGGCGAGGAAAATTGGATCTTGAGTTGGTTTTTGGCTGTTTGTTTTTCGTGGTGTTTGCAAAGATTGTTGACCTTTTCTTGTTGTTTTCTGTATGCTTTGGTGAGCCCGGGTTCTACTAAGGTTTTGTTTCTGCTTCGGGTTTTCAATCCGTTTCTAGACACTTGAGCTGCTCGTTCTTCTGCTTGTGAGGATCTGGTGGTTTTTGTTGTGGCTATCTATCCTTCTTGCTGTCTCCCAATCTTCATCGGCTAGGGTTCTAGTGTGTTGGCATTACCTTCTGGTTTCTAGGGTTTCTGCTGGGTCTTGTTGCTTGTATTCCCATTCAGCTGCTCATTCTTCTGCTTGTGAGGATCTGGTGGTTTTTGTTGTGGCTATCTATCCTTCTTGCTGTCTCCCAATCTTCATCGGCTAGGGTTTCTGGTGTGTTGGCTTTACCTGCTGTTTCTAGGGTTTCTGCTGGTTGCTAGAGTTCCCCATTCAGGTTCTTGCTTTATCCACTGGTTATTCTGGTTGTGTGGGAGGTTGCATTGCTTTTTTCGTTCCTCCAAAAGCTGCTGTTTCCTTGGGTCTAGATTGACAGCGCCGACTGCTGTCTGGTACAAAGTTGGTGTTTGTCAACGGGATTTTGAGCTTTATTCCTTGGGTTTTCTGGCATTCCTGCTGGGTCTTTCTATGCTTTTTCCTTCCTGTATCGTGAGGCTGCTGGTATTATTTTATGTGATTCTCTTGTTGAAGGAGGTTTTCTGGTTTTGATTCTTCTAAGCTACGACATTTAGCTGTGATTTTATGTAAGCTTTCTGGTTCCTTGTGGCTTCCTTTTCGGATCTCGGTTATGTGTTTTTCTTATTGCTCGGCTACTGGTTGTTCGGTTTTTTTAGTTGCTGGTCATTTTTGCTGCTGCTGGAACTGTCTTTTTTGTGGTTTCAGGCTGTGCTATAGCCAGTTTGGACAGTACCTGCTGGTTTTTTTTCATAGTTCTACTGTTTTGCTTTGTTTGAGCTGCTGTTTGGTTCTCCTTCCTTTTGTTGGCTGCGGTTGGTTTGTTTAGCTACAGGTTGTGTAGGGGTGTTTGTTTAATTTTGCTGCTGTCCTTAGGGGCTGCCTTCGAGTTTGGTATGATTGCTTTGCTCTGTCCTTTGCGGTGTGCGGCTGGTTTAGCTAAGGTGTCCTTTGCTGCTTCAGGGTTCCTTTCATTTTCTGCTCCCATTTTCTCGTGTCGAGTGTTTCCATGGTCTCCGTTACCCTTGAGAGTTAATTGGTAGAATATTCAGCACCTTGTTTTCGAGGTCTTCGTCTATTTTATCAAGGACACTCTAAAGGATTTCAGCTCCACGGCTTCTTGACTAGTGGAATGGATATGGTTAATGATCCTACCCCCTACCTGTTGATCCTAGTCGGGTTTCTGTCTTTGAGAGACTCTCTTCTCATGAAGCTTTGTCGGGTAGTAGCTCATCTAGTGGTTCTGGGGGTGTGTCTAATGATAAGTTAAATTTTGCGAAAGCTGTTGGCGGGACGGACTTGAATTTTTATTCGTTGGTTGACAAAAAACAGGTTAGTGTGAAAATCCCCATTGAAATGGCACAAGAAGTTGCGAAAGCTTATAATTCTATTTTGTTTGGATATTTGGGCCTGCGTATACCGTTTCCCTTAGTGAAAATTTTTGTCAAATCGGCGTGGGGGAAATATGGGTTTATGGATGCAATGTTGAATGAAAATGGTATATGTTTCTTCAAGTTTAATGATGTTGGAGGATGTGACCAAGTAATTGAAGCTGACCCGTTAATGATTAGGGGCATTCCTCTGTTTGTCCATCGTTGGGATCCCTCAAAGGGGCTAAGGAAACCGGAACACACATCCTGCTCTCTGTGGGTGAAGTTGCACAATATCCCGCTAGTGGCTTTTAACAAAGAGGGTGTCAGTTGAATTGTCAGCGTCTTGGGAATTCCGAAACAGATGGATTCGTGTACGGCAGTAATGTGTGAAAAATCTTGGGGCAGGCCGTTGGGCTAAAGTATTGGTTGAAGTTTGGGCGGTTGGGGAACTAAAAAGGCAAATTGAGGTAGAAATCCCAAGCCTCAATGGAGGGGAAGCTGAAAAGGTACTAATACAGGTTGAATACTTGTGGGAGCCGGTGCAATGTTCCCATTGCCAAGTTTTTGGTCACAAAATTTCTTCTCGTGCTAAAGCTGCTAGCCTGAACAAAGAGAAGCAAGTCGAGGGGAGGAAGGATTCCGAAGGTTTTATTAAAGTCAAAAAGAAGCAATGGCGAGTCAAGTCTAGAGGTAAGTCCAAGCATTCTGGACCGCCCCAGGAAAAAGTGATCGAGAAGAATGGGCCTAATCCGACGACATTGGTAGCTAGCACCTCGCAAAAGGATGAGACAATGTGTAACAACCCTCACATCTCAAATACATATAATTCACATCATCATTCTCATGATACTAAAATAGTATTATTACAAAACATGAACTATCAAAATGTATTTTTAATACATATGCATAACAAGCTAATATCACCAATTAGACTTTTCCCTTGCCTTTATCTTTCAGAGCACGCTGTCCTGCAAAACAGGTTAATCCAACATCTGAGCGTTAGACCAAAAGGTCTAGTGAGTGTATAATCTCATACAACAATATATATTCTAAACATTCAGTTTAGAATCAAACCTGTTCCGAAACATAAGTATATTTATGTTTCTCGCGGATTACACCGCCATCTCATTCTCATATCTCTATCTCACTCACGGTTACACCGCCATTATATCACTCTCGCGGTTACATCGCCATCATATCACTCTCGCGGTTACACCGCCATCTCACTCGCAGTTACA